TTGATCTTCCCAAAGATTAGTGGAATTAGAACATGTTTCAGTTCACAGAGTGAGCAGATGAAGTGCAGTTTCAAACCAAGAAACCACATCTACGTGCCTTGTGGGTGTCCCGCCATTAAAATCTCTGGAAACAATGAGAAAAAGTTGAAAACATGATGTTGTAAAGAGGGAAGCTCCTATTTTCATTCATTATACTAAGAAATATATATTTCTTTAAATAGAAATGAATGATAGCCCAGGAAGAACACTATCCTGTGTTTATAAAATAACAGCCTATAGAGGACCCCTATATGAGTAGCAACATGCCCCTACTCACTACCCACAAATTTGTCATACCCCTTCTTTTTTCTAAAGACTCTGACCAACTCAAGCATCTACTTTCCCTGTCTAATAGGAACTTTCCCATCAGAGCTATCCCTCTTGCAGAATCTCAAAAGGGTATCTTTGCCATCTTCCCAGACTCCCAATTGCCAATGTTCCTGTGCCCAGAGGAACACTTTCTTTTTGTTGAATCAACTTAAAATTTAAAGGAAGAGGGCTATTGAAGGATATTTTCTTTTACACTTATTGGCATTGTATAGGAGTTAAAATCTGGAGACAGGACAGTGGACATTATTCTCCAGGCTTCACGAGACGCTGGGGGAATGCAGCCTCAGGTGGGCTCCAACATGGTAACTTGGTACTTGTAGGCCAGAGCATAAACCACAGCTGATGTTGTCAGCTTCTGTTGTCAGGAAACTTGCATGTGTGGGATAAACTTCTTTAAGTTTATTGCCAGGAAGTGGATTGCCAGGACAATCAACACCATGTTGCCTAAGACCTGGAAAGAAAGAGTGTAGGCAATAAAATGGAAAAACTGTACAGAAGGTCTTAAACAGACCTTATAGCAATCAGGCACAAATGCATTTCCCCCCCACCCCTGAAAAGTCTGCCCAACTGCCAGGGCCTTGGGTCTACAAAGGGGCATATTTAGAGAATTTACATTGGCTTTAATATGACTCCCAGTCCTGTAGCTTCCCATGTGTTTTACCCTCTCATTCACTCTGCTAACATTTGACCTCAAAATATTACTAGAGATTGTTTCTCTCCTTTAAAGACTTTGCTATTTTGAAAAGTAAGGTTATAGTACTGTAGAGGTCTTTAATATATAAGGACTAGGCCTCCAGATAGTAGAATCATTCAAGTTATTTGGATACACCTATGAAAAAGAATGTCATGCCACATAATAAAAGCATTTTATCACTAAGAGGTGGGGTGAAGCAGGGAGGGCCAATTAATTATAAGTATTTGTTGAAAAGTTGTCCTTACTTTGCATTGCTTAGTCTTGATTGTAACTCAAGAACCATACCGATAGGTATTCATCTTACTTGACAGAAAATTTTAGATACCAAAGCCAAGATTTTCTGTTCCTTGGACCAATTTGTAACTTTCTGGCCAAAATATTTAGCTCCATTTTGACCACTTCTGGTCACAATATGTATTTTTTCAGAAATCAGAGGGCCAGTGGCTTCCAATGACTATCATAAAGGGTCTAATGCTGACATTTGAAACAACCTACCTAGCAAAATCAAGCTCTTCCCTAAAATATTAGCTCTCCAAAATATCTGTGAGGATAAGTCTTAAGTTCCTGTACATCTTAATATGCCCAAAACACCAATTTCTAGGGTGAAAACACTGAATGCACATGAAGTTCAGGATCCACTTGCCGCTTGTCACAGCACATGTCACCTGCATGCCCCATAGCATTTCTGAAAGCGGTCATCACCTTCTTACCATGATGATTTCTCATCTGGAGTAGTCGATTGTTGCAGAGGCAGAAGAAAAATTGCCCAAATTTTCAAATGGCCTGTTAACTCTTAGGTAAATTGCGAGAGTTCTATGGGGTGATTAATCCCAGACCAGATGGAAAGTCAAACCGAATAAGAAATCTGACCAGCCCCTCTTCTAAGAATATTTTTTTGCTGCCTGCCTTGGCCTCCAGATTTACCTTCCAGGGTTTCTCCTCCAGCCAACTCCACATTCCCCTTGGCCACAGACTAGCAATAGCAGCCTTCTCCTTGGCATGCGGCATGGTGTCTAGGAGCTGGCTGGTCATCACTAATGTGCCAGCAGCAATTCTATGAGGCTGCTTCTCTGTGTGTCTTTCATTCCCCATCTCTGGCCCCAGATCCTTGCTTCTTCCAATAAAATGAGACTATTGGGCAAGGGTGGGATGTCCCCACCAGGGCAGGGTTTGGCTAGGAAGGATCAGCAACATGGACATTTGTGGCTCTGAGAGTGTTGAATGGCCCCCTCAGAGAGGCTCTGCCATTCAATTTCATGTTCTTTCTTTCTATAGCTCATCTTTCCCTTTCCATCTGGCAAGCAATTCACATCTCAGTGTCCCTACCACCTCTACCTTGAAATTACTGAAGGCTGGTGATGACCTATGGAGGAGAATTGAATTATAAATGGCTGAGGCATTGGGTGAAGAGCTGTGACAATGTACCATTCTGCTATTCAGTAAGTCTTTGTACCAAAGAAGCCATTTTTGGCTGCCAGTTCTCTTAATATTACATTGGGTGTACAATTTAATTCTTTTGAAAATATAATAAAACATCAAAAGGAAGCAGGACAGAGAGGAACAAGGTAATAGGGAATAATTGCATGTTACTCTAGTGTCTTAATCCTCTTAGTAATGTAGTTGGTTCAAAAGCTATTCCCTCCAAGTCACTGGAAAATATTCTTACAGATTCCATGTATTTATGAATTTGCTCAGGTATAACTTGTTGTTTATTGATAATAACTACTTATCTTTCCTCTTTTACAGATCTGAGTCATTTAGACTTGTTTGTATAATTGTGCGTGTGCAGGAGTATGTTAATTATGAAGTTATTACAGACTGTTTACAGTTAAGTTGTTTTGAACAGGAAAAATTTAAGTCCTTAAGGGAAATTAAAAGTAAATTAAGCCCACAACTTCATCATCACCATGCTTTACTTCCATTCAAATTCAGAATAACTATTGAGGGACACACACAAAAGAGGAAACCTGTTCTCTTATTTGTTCATTGACTGACTAGGGTAAAATGGTATTGTGCCATGAGTAACTTCTACTTACTCTGTTTAGGGGAATAATGAGAGACCACAGGGCTCAGAGACCAGGGATATTGCCAGTTTGCAACGGTGATAATCATTGGTTTCTCATTGATGTTATAGAGACATAAAGTCAAATCATAAAGTGATTTAAAAGGTAAATTATGATCAATGTATGGGGCAATAAAATGTATAATAGAATTAAGTTTGCCAAGCTAAAGACATTCTGATTTGTAGTGCAAAGGAGTTGAGTCTTGATAGGAAAGTGAAAGAAGACCTAAAGGTCAAGAATTACTGAGCACCCTAGCTCTAGGTCCCTCAAATGTGGCCCTGTAAATTCATTTCTACACACGGGTCACCAGGTCAGAGTCTGGCCTCTTCTTGTTAAACTCACTCAGACTGGGATCTTTCTGTGCTCTATCCCCCTTTCCTTCTCACCCACCCCAGCAATTCAGATACCATGGTCTCCTCTCCCTACTCATCTTTGACTTTTTGCAAATCTCACTGCAATCAGATCATTGAATCTGTTTCCTTGAATTAGCATCTACATCTAGTATGAGGGATTTTCAATTCATTTTATATATATTAAGCATATGACTTCCCCCCAAACTCATACCTTGAATTTTTTAAAGTTCTAAGAATATTGACTTTTTACTCTTGCCAGTAGCATAGTCATAGCTTTTATGTTTATATTAAGACCTTGCAGTATCTAGTTGTGCTTAGTAGTCTGCTTATGTCTTATACTCTCTTCTGCTTTGAGAGTCATTTTCATGCGTGTCACTAAGTCCTAGCTTACGGTTTTAAAGTATGAACTTTTGTTAGTATCTTATCTCCCATCCAATGTCTTGGTTATTCCCCCCACAAAGATTCACTCAGTGTCTTAATTTTAACTTTAACTTAATGCATGTTACTCTGGATCAGAAGATAAAGCACAATTTCTCCCCAGTGAGACAGTTGAACCTTTCTGGAAGGAGCAGACTATTGTTGGTTTATGGAGACTTTTTTTAAAGTTTTTTTTTTAAGATTTATTTATGCATACAGATATGGGATACAAGCCAGAGGTGCAGGGGCAGTGAGAGAATTCACCAGAAACAGAGTGGGGAGCAGAACAGGCAGATCCAAGGAGTACACTGCTGAGGGGAGCAGTGGGAGAGACAGGAGAGGTCTGCCCCGCCATGTGGATCACTTCTGGGGCGGGGATCAAATTCGCAGAAGCCGCCACAGCTTGGCTTAGTTTCACAGTGCAGCACTCCAACCTGCTGCACCACCAGGGAGGGACCTCTGGAGACTTTTTATTGGAAATCTTGTAGCCACCCTTCAATTTATCCCCTTATATCCAGCTCAGTCTCACAAGATATCTAAGAAGTTATCTTATTCAAAATGTACAACAGAGCAAGTTAAAATACTAACCCTACCCTAGACCTTGGATTCCCACAAAGATTTTTTATTATTTTTAATTGAGCTCTGGAATGAACACAAATCTGCACTTCCCTTCCCCCACCCTGCCTGCCCTAGCACTGTTTACCACCTATCATTCCCCTCTGAAGCCACTTTTGTTACTTTCCTCTGTAAGACCCTGTCCCCTTAATTAACTAACTCTTCCCCCTCCTCAGAGAAATGTTCATCCTAGCATCCTCCTAGACCCTTTAGGGTCCTCCCATCATGTCTATATTACTTGGATGAGTCCCCACCTACTTCTCAAAGGAACTTTTGTTTCTTCCAATGTCTGCCTCACCCTCATCCAATAAACCTTTCTTCCTTTAACACAAGGATAAAAGATCAAGAAAATACAATATCAATTGCTGATTACTGAATAGAATGTGCTTTATTAACCAGAAGCTGCAGTGCCAACGTCAAACCCCAATCTCCATGTACAGAAGAGGTCACTGGGGACATGAAGGGGCCCTGGGCAACTGGAAGGAAGACTCAGTGATACTTGTGAGCCAGAGCCGTGGCAACCCCAGCCACCAACTTCTGCCAAGCAGCCTGCACCTCAGGGGTGAAATCTTTGCCAAAATGAGAAGCCAGAACAATCACCATCACATTGCCCAGGAGCTGTTAGATGAAAGACAAAGGGACAAATAGATATGTTCAGTAGAAATTTCCAAAAAGAACTGCAGAAAAAAAGACTGAACACCTAATTCCCTGCCTTGAATTGCTGAGTGTTATACTTATAACTCAAATGAGTTATTACCTAAATTCAATTTAATCTTTTAAGTACTTCATTCAATATTGTGCCTTCCATCCTGTCTACCATTTCACCATCTTTGCCTCTCACCCTCCCTTTCTTATTAACAATCATTGGATTTCTGAGTTGCCTACATTCTTAGAATGAGCTTAGTTAAAGTCTCCAACCAATGCAGAAACAAGCTTCTACTTGGTCACAATACTAACTAGTAATTGAACATATATGAGAGAAGTTGCACTGGAGAAACTCTGGCTAAAATATTGCCAAGTCCCTTCCTAAACATCGGTTGTTGTTAACCACATACGATAAAGAATTTACTTTCCCTACCAAAGGTCAAATTTCACTTGAGACCTTGAATAATCCTTGAATAGTGAATAATTAGTAAATAATTCTGCTATTCTCTGATATAATACTCTAAAACAAACACATACAGTCTTTCAAAAGTTCATAAAAGGATTAAGTACATCAGGCTGTTAGAAGTGCTTTACTGTCACTAATCCTGATCAACGTGGTTTTGGTAATGTCCCCCTTGAAACTTGCCCTCTGTCACCAAGTTCAACTCATGCTTTCTGAGACCTTTGTTAGTTTTAACCATGAGTAAAAAGCCAAAAAATACTGCAAACATTTCTCGAACTCACCCTGAAGTTCTCGGGGTCCACGTGCAGCTTGTCACAGTGCAGTTCGCTCAGCTTGGCAAAGGCGCCCTTGAGGTTATCTATGTTCTTAACAGCTTCCCCAAAGGAGGTCAGCACCTTCTTGCCATGGGCCTTGACCTTGGGGTTGCCCATGATGGCAGAGGGAGAGGACAGGTTGCCAAAGGTGTCAAAGAATCTTTGGGTCCAGGGATAGACAACCAGGAGCCTACAACATGGGACCACAGCAGATGGAAAATCGGTCACAAAAACCTGGAAAATTTTCCTGGTTTATTTGCTAAACTCATGTTTACCCTCCTCTCCCGTGTATTGAAGCCCAGTTCCTACCTGCCCAGAGCCTCGCCGCCAGCATCTTCCACATTTACTTTGCCCCAGAGGCCAGTGATAATAGCCTTCTCCTCGCTAGTGAAATGCACCATGATGTCAAGTCTGGGAGCTTGCCAGTGATCGCAGAAGTGCGAGAAGAAAGTGGGTACTGCTGCTAGAAGAGGTGGCCTTTTATTCTCTACTGCTGAGCTGCTGACCCCTCACTCCCCCCTGGAACTTTGAAGTCAATTGGTCAATGCTGAGCTGTGTCCTTCAGGGGTGGAGTCAGAGCAGGAAATGGTCAGCAGGGAGGGACACACTCTGAGTTTGTGATAACAGTTAGTGTCCAAGACATCAGTCCTTGTCCGCTCCTCCTCACCCTCAACATAATTTCCTATTCATTCCCCCTTTTCATCTTCCTTGATAACATCCACCTCTTTAATTCTCTTTCTCCAAGGTAGTCCTATAGGAACTATCCTTTAGGGAAAAAAGTTTTGATAAAGATTTTTATTGTTTAGATTGAGAATGGTGACAGGGACAGGAGTTGGGTCAAGGAAACAATTGCTGACACAGAATTTCAACCTTTGACCCTAAGTTTCCAGTGGAGACAAAATAAGTACATGGTTACTTCACAAAGTCAAAGATAGTTCCAAGGGATAGACAAAGGATCAAAACCCCAGTATCAAACTACAGTAGCCTTGGATTATATCACAGGAAGGACAGAGAATAAACTTCATTCTGATCATTTCTCTGTGATTACAGCGGGGACTGGCTACTTTAAATAGAGATTCCCCTGAATTTGCTTCTTGATTTTTTCTGTCCTACTTTTACTTCTTTATACCTACAAAGGAAATAATTGCCAAGGACTTGCAATTATTTAAAAATAACATGTAACCAGAGAAATAGATGAGTTGCTGTGTTCATCAGGTTAGGAACAGAGTATACTGAATGTCTTTTGCAGCCATAGTCACCAGAGGCTTCAAATGCCTTTATTGTCCTCATGTTTTAATGGCACTTTTGTCTTTGAACATCCTTGAGAACTCATCATGAAATAAAAGTTGTATCTTGCACATTTCTAGTTGCAACCCACTACTGTTATACTGGAGTCCAGATGGTAACGTAGTAAGAAATAGTGGAGAAGCAGTCTCTAATTACACCTTTAAATCTCAATCTTTAGTGGAGCAGTGTTTCTGAAATGTCACTTTCACCAGGCTCTCTTAGCTTTTCCCTTTTAAGAGAACAGGAATGTCTCTCTGGGGTAGAGTAGATAGCTGGAGAGGCAGCTAGAAGCCTGACAGCTAGAGTAGATAGCTGGAGAGACAGGCTTCTAGCTGTCTCTCCAGCTTCTAGAGTGGAGACATTTGATCACTGAAATACAGGACCAATGAATGGATAAGAAACAGTGAAGAATAGTTCTGGATTAATAAGAGTTGATTTAATTAATAGAGGTAGAACTCCAGGTTTAAAATGCGAGTTTTCTAGATAGCCACAGTATGAAGACATAGGTTTTTTTCCTTGAGCCTTGTGTGTAGGGATCAGATATTGCCAAACCCCAGAAAATAAGGATCAGGCCTCCTGAAGCAGAACCTGTGAGTTTGTCCCAGTCTCCTTCCAGTTCAAAGTGTAGACACTAGTTTTGTTTTATATTACTTTTTAAGTAATTAATTTTTATATATTGTATAGCACTGTTCATTTTAGGGAGAGAGAGAGAGGACCAGTCTTCTTTTAGATTCAGATTATAAAGGTGGTCTACTTTCTGCTTGACTCACACTCACTGTGGGACTCTTCTTTCTTTTTCTACTAACAGCCTTCAGGACCAGAGCTGACTTGCCTTTCCTTGCTTTATTATTACTTAAGATTATGGGAACTGGCTTCAAGAAAGGTTATCAGTCTCTGGTGAATCCTCTCATCCCCCACACCTCTGGCCTGTATCCAGTTCTTGTATGCATAAATAAATAAATCTTTAAAAAAACAAAAAAAGATCATCAGGTTGAAAGCATATGGCTTATTACTTAGTACAAGGCTTATTACTTCTGATTCTGAAGCCAGATGCTATCTGACTGTGATCTCATTGTTGCTTAGGTGCTATTTGATTCCAGCTAAATTATCTTAGTTGCTCATTTGGAAGCATTTCATTTATTTCTCCTATGAAAGAGCATGATTATGTGTCCTTTTCCTGGATGAAAATGCCAACTTAGGAAGATAAGTGACACGGTTATGCAGGAGAGATCAGAACAATTAAATGGTCAGAAAATTAAACGGAATATTCATTTATTAGCTATAAAATTAAAAATTAATAAAATGAAAGTTATGTTCATAGGTGTGTTTAAAAGGACTTCTAAGCAAGAAAGAGCAAGTATTTATTTAAACCTTGCTAGTTAATTTATGAGGTGTATACTAATTTTATAAGTTAAGTGATGTAGTATGTTTAGTTTCTATTAGTATGGAAAATTGTATAAATTATAAATGTATACCAAGTTGATCAACCACATGTTTTTCATACTATTATCTGAGATAAATTACATCAAAAATTATTCTCTATCACAAATGAGTTCTTTTCATTTCAAAATTGAAAAAAAATGATAAATAGGCTTTAAAAATCTCTAAAGGTACAAAATGTATCTTAGTATTCTTACTTAGGCTATAAATTTGTTCTTCCATTATGTATCTGACTTTATATTACCATAACAAAAATGTATGAGGTCAAAAATTCTATTAAATATGCTTTCTCCCTGAATAAAATGTGAACCACAAATTATAGGAAGTTCTTATGACTGCTGTGCAGGAATCCATGAATAATTTCTGGTGTGACTAAAAAGAATGAGAGAATAAACCAAAACTAGTGGTCAGGTGATACCACTTGCCACGTACCACACTTCTAAATCAACCTTCACCGTTTGCAGCTGAGTCTAAACCAGACTGGTTCTCATTCTTATAGTAACTTCTTAGCTTTGGCCTATGAGAACATGAACTTCAATGGTTTGATTGATCTCTGGGGCCACTGTCTGAAGGGACAACCGAAGACTGTGTGAATGTTGAGAAAGAGGGTTTAATTGGAAGAGGAAATGAAAAGCTAGGACCAATCATTATTGCACACTTTTCTAAGCTTTAATCAGACAATATAGTGTCTTGGTTTCCTTAATTATCTTTTTAACCTTAAATAAATTGTCTTCATTTATTTTTATGACTATAAATTCTAGGAAATTCTTATACTTTCTGTTTAGTATTTTTGCCTAATGCATTCTATGAACAAGGACAACATAGAAAAAAATACTCTCAAATAGTCACTCCTCTCAAATAGACACTACTATTAAGCCAGTGTTTTCTAATCTTTCTTTCTTTCAGTTTATTAAACTACATAGATCATTGATCAATGATCTAGGTCTTTTAATCAATATTTAAGTCAAGCAGTAATGTCAATGGTGGTACTTCAGAAGCATAAACTCAGATATTAAAGTTCTATCTAATTCAAATGGGACTTTTCAAGGTGGTTTAAAATTTTATATCCAGAAATGTTAAAAAAAATCTAATTCTTTGCTAAATTTCCACTCCTATTGTCAAAGATTATAAAGTCTTGATTTGGTGGGGAGGAGGTTTGAATTATAAAAAGCAGTTAAGTATTTTTTTTTTTTTTAGTTGTAAGCACACTATCACCAGGGATTTTTTGTGTGCACATTCAATATTGGGTAAGCTCTCACACAGTATGTTCCCTAAGTAGAAAATATATATCTTTTGGGAAAAGGATAAATTTGAGACTTTGTAAGTAATAAGGACTTAAACGGAGCTGTAATAATTATCAGTAGACCCCCATCTTTTAAGAAGATCATCTACCATGAAGAATAATGAGAAACCAAGCTCCTTTGTTTGGTATCAACTAGTGGAAGATAATTAACAATGACCACTCCCACAAAGGGTAATTTCTGAAACCAAATTAATTTTTTTAAGATTTATTTATGCATACAGAACTGGGGTACAGGCCAGAGATGCAGGTGGGTGAGAGGATTCACCAGAGACAGAGTGGGAAGCAGAACAGGCAGAGTATTGAAGTACACTGAGGGGAGTAGCCAGGGAGTCAGGAGAGGTCTGAGGGGAGTAGCCAGTGTTCAGGGGAGGTCTGCCGCACCATGTGGATCATCTCAGGGGCAGGGATCAAACTCACACTGAAGTGGCTGCAGCCAGCTTGCCGTGCTGCACTTTAACCCGCTGTGCCACCAGGGAGGGCCTCTGAAGCCAAATTCTTACAACCCTTATCTTATTGAATTTTCAGCATTTGTGAGGAACAGAACAGCTCTTAGTTTCTTAGGCCAACAGGGTAATAGAGGTCTTTCCTTCATGCTAGTCTCACTTAGATCCTAATGTCACTAGACTTTCCTGCATCATTTTTACTTCTTTTTCTCCTCTTCATCTTTCTTCTTTGTTTATTTATTTTCCGGAACTGGGGCATTTATTTTATTTTGTTTTGCTTTTAATAAACAGAGCCCATCAAATTCAGTGCTTCTCTCCTTCTGAAGACTGGGCTGTTGATAATTGGGGGGACACTGGGGACACAGACAGGGGTTCAGGACAACACAGAGCTGTGGCAAGGGAGGGGACCAGTTAAAGACACAAAAGCCTGACAGCCAGCATGCTTCTCCTACTGCTCTCTGTACTCCTGCCAGAACCAATAGGCTTACAAGGAGTCATTAATCACCAACAAATACTGAAAATTATGCCAGAGACCAAAGTGGACACTAAATGTCAACAATCAGCCCAGCTCAAGAAGTGTGATGCAATAAATGGGTCAGACATAAATCTGAAATTTTCTCATGGACTATTTCAACTATTCTATCTGCCTCTTTAACATTTTTCCCAATTGTATAGCTCTTTACATCATTTCACACATTAACTCCAATAAAACGCTTAACCTCCTACTTAAACATCATTTTTCTGAGGCCTTCTCTGATCCCTTAGCCTCCTGCTCTTTCTCTCTCAGGCTCTGTCTCATGACTTTCCTTCATTTCTGGTCCTTGACAGTTACCAATATGTAGGAGGTCAACAAATATCAGCAGAATAACTTGTTCTGTTTTCAATTCCCTGTCACAACAACTTTCAAAGAATGCTTCTTCTGTATCATGCTTGAAAT